TCAGTTAAAAAAAAATTGTTAATTTTTAAATTTTGTTTTTTAAAAAAAAAAAAAAAAAAAAAAAAAAAAAAAAAAAAAAAGATTGAAAAATTTGGCAGGGAATAAATGGATTTTTGAATTAACAGTTTTATCATACGTATAAAAAAAAAAAAAAAAATTCTCAATAGTTTTTTTTTTTGAGTCGAGATGTTGGCAATCATCCGAAACTCAAGCCATAAAGTTTCAATTATTAATTACCCAACCTTGACTTGCTTCAGGTTTTTTTTCAAAGGTATTTTTAATAATCAAATCATATATATATTATTTGGGAGTCATGAGTTTTTGTATGAATATGAGTATTTTTGACAGTGAACGACGTTCCTTCAATGATAGATTAGTTTATAAATCAATTTTATTAAGCATATTTAAGAAAATAGTGAGAGAGAGAGAGATAGAGAGAGGTGTCGAGGGGAAGAAAACCAAAGTTGAAAAAAAAGGAAGTTGTAGATATATAATTAATGAATTGATTCAGTGAATAATTAGCAAGTTTTTTTAAAAATAGTTTTACAGAAGCAAAATAATTTTGTTTCGTATCAAAAAAAAAAAAAAAATAAAATAAAATTTAAATAAATAACGTAACCCCTTTTTTCTTTTTTTCTTTCTTTTTTTTTTTTTTACAAAAGATTTGAAAAAAAAAAAAAAAAAACTATTTGTATTCAAATCTAGGAATGAAGTTGGCCATAAATGGTCGGAATAAAAGTTTTTTTTTTTTTTTTTTTTTTTAAAAAAGATTTTAATTTGACTCTAGGGCAGGTGAATGACAGGTTTAGCAAGTCTTTTCTTAAATGGGGGCATTCGTTATCCTTAGGCTTGTGAATTCAAATTTTAAAAGGTTTTAAATAAGTTGTACATGTTCCCCAATATGTCATTCGAAAACAATACAAAACCGATATTTTTCTTTCTCTCTTCATATTATTATTATTATTATTATTATTATTATTATTATTATTATTATTATTATTATTATTATTGATTGTAAATGTTGTTGCTTTGATTCTCTCGAATAGAAACGGGAAGTGGTTTTTATGATAATAAGTCATTGCACCGAATTTATCGTAGAATTTTTGTAAAAAGTAAACATTTTTTTTTTTTTCTCTTGGGGAGTATTATACTTACGTATTCAATTTTTAAAATTTAAAGTCTATATATATATATGAGAAATTTTATGGCGTGAAAATGTTTATGTTGATTTTTTAAAGGAATTAATTTTTTTTTTCTCTTCTAATTAGCGAATTAAAACAAGTTTTTTTTAACGTGTAAAAGAATTGCGATTTATTATAACACATTAATTTTTTTTTTTTTGCTATTGTCAAATGAGCATTTATCCCTCGGGATAAATTTTGAGGAAGTTGATTGATTCACTAATATTATTATTATTATTTTTTTTATGTAGAAAGTCGTTTAACCTGCATTTTCAAGGGTTATATTAGTATATGACATATGCTATATTGAAAATTTGATTCCTTATTTAGAGTTAAAAAACGTTGAGGTCATTTACTAAAAAAGGTTTTGTTTAGGTTTGTTATGATGATACCATAAATAAACAAATGTTACTCTGTTATGGCGTTATTTTTGCAATAACATTTAATCATCTCTTTTTTTTTTTTTTTTTCTATTCTATTATCGATTATTGATTATTGATTTTTTTTTTATTTAATCATCGAAGGAGAAAATTTGTAGAGTAGTTGAATGGATCTTGCTTTTCTCTCTCTCTCTCTCTCTCTTTTGTGTCTTATCAAATAGAATCGTTCGTCATCATAATTTTTACAATTTGAAAAAAAAAAAAAAAAAAAAAATACAAAATGAATTTCATATAAAATTTTGTCATGTTTCAAAATTGGAAACTTGGTATTAAAAATTAAAACAACTTGAACAATTGACCTAATTCAACTTGCAATATATTTGAACCTAAAAAAAAAAAAAAAACAAAAGCCTGATGATGTACGTTGGTGTAGGCCTTTTTTAAAGGTTTTTGATGACCAAATGGCGCCTATTTAAAAAAAAAAAAAAAAAAAAAAGAAATACACATTGTTAAAAATTTTTTATTTTTAAATGTTAAATATCTATATAAAATAAAGGTTATTGAAATTATTATTAACAAAAAAAAAGAAAAAAAGTTACAACAACAACAACAACAAATGAATTTTATTTATTTTACGAAGGTTAAAAATTAATAAGGTTAAATCAACTTGATTTATTTTTAATTTATTGTGATTTTTTTCTTTTATTTTTTTTTTTTATTAAATAAGTTCATGATATAAAAAAAAATTTTGCTTCGATAGGAATTCCAGCAAAAAAAAAAATAAATAAAATAAACTGTGTCGAAATGTGACAGATTATCATTATTATTACTATTTTTTATAATAAATATATTTGAATCTAATAATAATAATAATAATCGATATTAAAAAAGACATAAATTTTCTTCCTGGTTATTTCCTACGTGTAATTAAAAGAATTTAAAGAATTTATTAGTCGCAGAAATAAAGTATAAATAAGTAGGAGGGAGGGGGGGGAGAGAGAGAGAGAAAACTACGGTTACTCATAACTAACTTTCTTAAGTATTAAATTTCTGTTAGTCAGTAATTTTTAAAATATATATATATATATATACAGTTTGAGTTCATTGATTGTTAATTCTTTTTTAATTAATGAAAATGAAAAAAAAAAAAAAAAAAAAAAATGAAAAGAAAAGAATTTTATCGATGGCATTATTAATAATAATAACAACGTCGATTCGGAATAGATTCGCATAGATGTATCTATCTATCTTTGGTTTTTTCTTTGTTAACGGAATATATATATATATAAGTGAAAGCGAAAGTTTTTTTTGCCTAAAAATGTTTTTAAATGTTATTACTATCCGGTTTGAATTACATTTATGTATTAAAAAGTTATTTCAGAACCGATGAAATAAATAAAAGAAAGAAAGAAAGAAAGAGAGAGAAATAAAATAAAAATTTATAACCCAAAAAAAAAAAAAAAAAAATTAATTTTGTATTAATCTCATGGCTAGCATTAGGCTTTTTGGTGTGTGGGGGGGGAGGGGGAGATTAAAAGAATTTCGTTATGATAAATTTATTTTGTTGTAGTTTTGTGAATAAGAAAGAAATAAAAGAAAGATTTGGCGTGTAAAACGTATTTTAATTAGCATTGGTTTAATAAATTTCAGGTGTACAACTTGATTGCATTGTGTTCAATATGAAAAAAAAGAAATTGTTTCGTTTTGTTTTGCTTTTTTTTTTTTTTTTTTTTTGTTTTTTACTCTCACCAAAAGTTCTGTTTTTTTTTTTTTTTTTTTTTTTCATTTCTTTTCTTATTTCAAATCAGTCAATGGCCCATTAACAAAAAAAAAAAAAAAAAAAAAAAGAAAAATTTTCCTTTAATTTTCAAAACAATAAGAATATTTTTATTTAAAAAGTTTTTTTTTTTTTTTTTTACACAATAGAAATATAATTTTGTTGATATCACGAGGAGCGTTTGATTCGATTTTTAGGTTTAGGGAGGGGAAAGAAGGGTAAAGAAAAAAATTTTTGTGTTAATTGTCGATGAAGAAGAAGATGAAAAAGAAAAAAAATTATCTATACGTTTTTTAAATATTTTATTATTTAAAAACGTTGTATTATTATCTTCTTCGTTGTGCATGACACTTTGTGTCAGACATTTTCTCACTTGGTTATATATATATATATATATATATATATCATTTAATAGAAATCGAAATATTATTATTATTATTTATTCGTGGGTTTTGTATACTCAATGTAAATAAAACAAAGTCCTTGTCATCGTCACACTAGAAAAAAAAAAGAAAAAAACAAACATTTTATGAATATTTTTTTGTGTTTTTCTTGGGTTAAATTTTTTTTTCTCTACTAAAAATTTATATGTAAAACTGTTTGCGAAACTAATAATAATAATAATAATAAAAATACCATTCGAATCGTTTTCGATTTTAGTTTGATCCTAAATGTATAATCGGCTTAAATAAGCCTAAACATAACATAAGATTTTCCGTTTTCTTTAAATGTACCAAAGAAAACTGAAGCTCACACCTAATCAAATTTTTTATACAAATGATTTAACATTTTTTTAATTTGTCTTGTCGACATTTTTTTATGAAAAATTCTCGTCATTATTATTATGTCGATAAATTATTTCGTGCGAGAGGTTGTTTAAATAAAATGTTATTGAATAAAAAAAATCTCATGTGTGAAATACCTTCTTGTAATAATAATAATAATAATTTATTTTTATTTGAGGATTCCATAGGTTTTTAAAACTTGATTTATTTTTTTTAGCTTGGCAATGACTTTGTTTTTTCGTTTGTTTGTTTGTTTGTTTGTTTATTTTCTTGTCTGGTGATTGGTTCGATTTTTGCATCCGTAATCCGTTGAATTTGTTATTGAATTCCATTTCTGTAAGCATTCATTCATCGCGTTTGTTTTTAATTGATTATTTTTTTTCTTTTTTTCTTAATAAATTTGGTTAATCATTATTAGGTAAAAAATTAAAAAAAAAAAAAAAAGAAATAATAGTAATAATAATAATAATAATAATAAAATTTTAAGCGCGAAAAAAAAAAAAAAAACAGTTTTGGTAACTGTTTGAAAGTACAGAAACCGGCTTTAGAATAATGTATGTGTCTTTACGAGTTACCAAGGTCGCCATATGTCTGCTTTTTTTTATTTTATTTCTTCGAGACCCAAACGATGAAGATGCCCATTTATGGATGTTTTTTTTTAAAATTTTTCGTTAGCTGGTTTTGCCTTATAAAGGTGGGGGAGGGAAGGGGAAACCCCTTTTTTATTTTATCATTCAGAATTTTTTTTTTTTTTTTTTTTGTTAAAACAAAAAGGAGAAAACGAATTTTTTTAAAATTTATTTATTTATTTATTAATGATAATCGAATGAGTCCATTAAATAATTATTTCATGTTACAAGACCCGGTTTGTTTGTTTCTTTCTTTCTTGTCTCTTTTTAAAATTTTATCTATTATTATTATTATTATTATTATTATTACAACGATTTTTTTAATTACTATTTGAAATTTTAAATGTTTGCCGCCTTTGAATTTCCCGACTTATTTTTATAAAATGTTACAAATTGTTTTATTTTTAAATTAAACTTGGATATTTTTAATTATTGCAATTTTTTTTATTTTTATTTTTTGTTTTGAGTTTTTATGATATTTTGACATTTGTAAAATGTTGTCAACACGCACATTAAAAAACATATAAAAAAAACCACTGAAAGGCTATTTGTCTGTCAATAAAAAATTTTTTTAAAACATTCTTTTATTATTAGAACAAGAAAGTTTAATTTTTTTGTTGTTGTTGTTGTTGTTTTGACAGGATAATAATAATAATAATAATAATAATAATAATAAATAAATTAATATAGAGTCTATTTTGAAAATGTGTTTTTGTATAAGGCGATAATTATATAAATATTATGAATTATCAGGGTGTTGTGAAAAATGCTCTCTCCTCCTTAACACATACATTCCCTTTTTTTTTTTTTTTATAATAATTTTTTTTTTAATATAATTTTTTTTGGACCATTTATGTTTTTGTTGTTGTTATTGGGTAGGGGAACGGCCGGCTCAATTTTCTCTTGCTGATTGTGAAGGAGGTGAAGATTTTTTGTTTGTTTGTTTCTTTTCTTCTTATTCCTTTACTTTTTCTTTTTATGTATTGCGTAGGTTTGAAAATGGCATTTATATGGCACGTTTCATCCAAACGCGCCTTAAAAATTAATTTTTTTATATTAGCTATTTAATTTTTTTTTTTCATTTTTATTTCATTCATTATAATTAATTTAGGCAGGTTAAAAATGGTTTTTCTCTTTATGGTTGTTTCGTTATTTTTTTTTTAAAACTAAATTGCGTTAAAGTATTATTATTTTAAAAGAAGAAAAAAATTTTCAATACGATTATTTTATCGACTACAAAAAAAAAAAAGAAAAAAAAAAAAAGAAAAAAAAGTCAATCATCACCGCAAGAAAAGATTTCCATTTAACAAAATTTGTGAAATACGTTAAAAGTGTAAACTTTTGAATCTCCCGGCTCAAATTATATTAATTTGAATAAAATAATATTTAAAATAATCTTTTTAATAAATTATGAAGTATTGTTCGAATACAAAATTTTTTTATTTGGCATTTTATTGAGGTTTTTTTTTTTTTTTTTTTTTTTTTTTTATGGCGGAAGAGTGTAAAGTTAGCCAAAAAGAAAAAAATTTGTCGTGTTTCATTTCATTAGATGCTTAAATCAAATTTTTCAAATGTATTTTAATAAGCCTAATAAGTCAAGAGCACATTACATTATAATTAACGCAGATGATTTCTACCATCTTTAATTAATGTAATTTAAATGAATTTAAGCGTGGGTAGAGTAGTAGAGTAGTAGTTTTATTTTGTAATTTAAATCTTAAAAATTAAACTACGACTAATTAGTTTTTTGGAGTATTTCATTTAAGCAATACATATTTAATGATTTACGAAATCAATCATAACTACATTCGATTTTCTATTTATCGATAATGTTATCGATAAACGCATTTATTTTATTGAAAAAAATGTATTTTTTCTTTTCAGACTTATTCCGGACTTTTCTGCGTTGTCGTTAATCCATATCAGAGACTTCCCATTTATACAGAAAAAATTATGGAAAGATATAAAGGAATAAAAAGACACGAATTACCACCGCACGTTTTCGCAATAACGGATACGGCGTATCGATCTATGTTACAAGGTAATAAATTGAATTTATTTAAAATTTATTTAAAATTTTTGTGCATAAAAGTTGAGAGAAAATATTTTCTTTTCTTACTTACGCATTCACTTACTTTTAAATTACAAGACATTACCATTATTTCATTCTTTTTTTTTTTTTTTACATAATTCATTCATTCATTCATTCATTCGTTCGTTCGTTCGTTCGTTTCATTATTCGTTCGCTTATCGATTATTTCAAACAGGTTAAACACATTTGAATATTTTACTGTTGAGTTGTTTAAATATTTCTCGTTTTGTTTACAAATACATTTAAATATACGTGTCGAGTAGTAGTAGTAGTAGTAGTGCACACGCCATGTTTTCTTTTTTTTTGTAAGCTTTTCTAAGAATTGAATTTTTCTAACGATCGTAATTCATTTTAAATGGAAAGTTGTCTCGTAAAAATGAAAATCGGTGTGAAAAACCCATGGGTGACAAAATGAGTCG